GTTCTCTCCCCTAGAGCAAAACAAGCAGTTAACCCAAGCAGTGCGGGCACAGCCCCACTGCACAGGCAAAAAAATGTTTGCCCGGAATTCTGTTTCAAACAATGTAGGCCAAAACCACATTTAAAAAATGCCTTTTTAAAAACACCCACAGCCTGTGATGATTTCTTTGAACTGAAAGGGAACCCTGGCTGGCAGGTAGGTTTAGCACACTGAGCTGCTATACCCATATGAGACAGCATAGTGTGCTTTATAACAGAGCTTTTGGCTCGCATTTGGCTACTGAAAATAACATGTGAGCGCATGTGTCCCAGGCACCGCATTGGAGGGTGGGGGACGGGTGCTACCAGCAGCACCAACCTCCCCTGAGCATTGTGTTGAGGGGGGGCACACTGCTGGTGCCGCTCCTCAGTGACCGGAGTGATCGCAGTTTCACTCCTGTCACAGGGAGCAGCTGGAGGGAGGACTAGGCTTTCTCCTCCCTCCTGCCTGCAGGGGGCAATAGACATCCGGAACTAAGGAGTGAAGGCAGAGTGTCTTTCCTCTCTCCCCTTGTCATGTGACTTATCACATGACCGAAGGAGGGAAAGAAGGAGAAGCTGCATTCAGGAGAAGATCTGTGAGTACAAGGGGGGAGGGGGAGGTTACACTTATGGGGATACCTGATGTAAAGGGGGGCTCTGATGGGAACACCTTATATAAAGGGGGACTCTGATGGGGACACCTGATGTAAAGGGGGACTCTGATGGGGACACCTGATGTAAAGGGGGACTCTGATGGGAACACCTTATATAAAGGGGGACCCTGATGGGGACACCTGATGTAAAGGGGGACTCTGATGGGAACATCTGATGTAAAGGAGGACTCTGATGGGGACACTTATTTTCATTTTATGTTTACATTGTTTTATGTTAACCACTTGCCATCTAGACTCTATTAAGCTATTGCTGTTCTGTTAAATTAACATAATAAAGCTATGGTATAATTGTTGTTTTTTTATATTTTGGACTCTTTAATCTAAATAAATATGTAATTTCATAAGCTTTAAGGGGGCATGGTTGGGGGCGGGATTGGGGGACGGGGGTGGAGGCGGACGCGGACCTGGGCAAGGTTTGGTGGGGCAACTGGTGGAGAGTAAGATTTTTGCCTGGCTAGTAGGTCTAGACTTGAAATTTTAAGCCCTGCTTTAGAATAAAGGTGAACTAAAACTTTAAGGAACGTTCACAGAATCTAGGCATTTACAGTCAGATCATGGAGCATTTGTAAGTTTATAGACCTGCTTTTTGTATAGGTGAACTTGCACTTATTTGTGGCATTGTCATGTTACATATAATTGACCACATTTATGCTGCTTGGGATATGATATAAGGTCAACCGTAGTAACTTCAATCTTTTCATTAGCATTAATATTCATTTTTTAAAAATTGCCACATTTATTTTTTTTCATACAAAAGGAAAGCACACGTGTTAAATCAGTGGTTCTCAACCTTTCTAATGCCGCGACCCCTTAATACAGTTCCTCATGTTGTGGTGACCCCCAACCATAAAATTATTTTCGTTGCTACTTCATAACTGTAATTTTGCAGTGGGAGGACTAGCGCCCCATCACTGATGTCAGTGGGATGAATAGTGTCCCATCGTTGGTATCAATGGGATGAATAGTGCCCCATCGTTGGTGTCAGTGGGAGGAATAGTGTCCCATCATTGGTATCAGTGGGATGAATAGTGCCCCATCGTTGGTGTCAGTGGGAGGAATAGTGTCCCATCGTTGGTGTCAGTGGGAGGAATAGTGTCCCATCGTTGGTGTCAGTGGGAGGAATAGTGTCCCATCATTGGTATCAGTGGGATGAATAGTGCCCCATCGTTGGTGTCAGTGGGAGGAATAGTGTCCCATCGTTGGTGTCAGTGGGAGGAATAGTGTCCCATCGTTGGTGTCAGTGGGAGGAATAGTGTCCCATCGTTGGTGTCAGTGGGAGGAATAGTGTCCCATCGTTGGTATCAGTGGGAGGAATAGTGCCCCATCATTGGCATTAGTGGGAGGAATAGTGTCCCATCATTGGTGTCAGTGGGAGGAATAGTGCCCCATCATTGGTATCAGTGGGAGGAAGAGTGCCCCATCATTGGCATTAGTGGGAGGAATAGTGTCCCATCATTGGTGTCAGTGGGAGGAATAGTGCCCCATCATTGGTATCAGTGGGAGGAATAGTGCCCCATCATTGGTATAAGTGGGAGGAATAGTGCCCCATCATTGGTATCAGTGGGAGGAATAGTGCCCCATTGTGGGTGTCAGTGGGAGGAATAGTGCCCCATTGTGGGTGTCAGTGGGAGGAATAGTGCCCCATTGTGGGTGTCATTGGGAGGAATAGTGCCTCATCATTGGTGTCAGTGGGAGGAATAGTGCCCCATCATTGGTGTCAGTGGGAGGAATAGTGCCTCATCATTGGTGTCAGTGGGAGGAATAGTGCCTCATCATTGGTGTCAGTGGGAGGAATAGTGCCCCATCATTGGTGTCAGTGGGAGGAATAGTGCCCCATCATTGGTATCAGTGGGAGGAATAGTGCCCCATCATTGGTGTCAGTGGGAGCAATAGTGCCCCATCATTGGTATCAGTGGGAGGAATAGTGCCCCATCGTTGGTGTCAGTGGGAGGAATAGTGCCCCATCATTGGTGTCAGTGAAAGGAATAGTGCCCCATGATTGGTGTCAGTGGGAGGAATAGTGCCCCATGATTGGTGTCAGTGGGAGGAATAGTGCTCCATCATTGGTGTCAGTGGGAGGAATAGTGCTCCATCATTGGTGTCAGTGGGAGGAATAGTGCCCCATCATTGGTGTCAGTGGGAGGAATAGTGCCCCATCATTGGTGTCAGTGGGAGGAATAGTGCCCCATCATTGGCGTCAGTGGGAGGAATAGTGCCCCATCATTGGCATCAGTGGGAGGAATAGTGCCCCATCATTGGCATCAGTGGGAGGAATAGTGTACAATCATTGGCATCAGTGGGAGGAATAGTGTCCAATCATTAGCGTCAGTGGGAGGAATAGTGCCCAATCATTGGCGTCAGTGAGAGGAATAGTGCCCCATCATTGGTATCAGTGGGAGGAATAGTGCCCCATCATTGGTGTCAGTGGGAGGAATAGTGCCCCATCATTGGTATCAGTGGGAGGAATAGTGCCCCATCATTGGTGTCAGTGGGAGGCATAGTGCCCCATCATTGGTGTCAGTGTGGTGGAGGGGGGAATAGTGCCCCATCATTGGGGTCAGGGGGGGGGAATAGTGACCCATCATTGGTGTCAGTGGGGGGGGGGGAATAGTGACCCATCATTGGTGTCAGTGGGGGGGGGGGGGGAAATAGTGTCCCATGGTTGGTGTCGGTGGGGGGAGGAATAGTGCCCCATTCTTGGTGTCAGTGGTGGGAGGAATAGGGCCCCATCGTTGGTGTCAGTGGGAGGAATAGTGTCCCATCGTTGGTGTCAGTGGGAGGAATAGTGTCCCATCGTTGGTGTCAGTGGGAGGAATAGTGTCCCATCGTTGGTATCAGTGGGAGGAATAGTGCCCCATCATTGGCATTAGTGGGAGGAATAGTGTCCCATCATTGGTGTCAGTGGGAGCATAGTGCCCCATCATTGGTATCAGTGGGAGGAATAGTGCCCCATCGTTGGTGTCAGTGGGAGGAATAGTGCCCCATCATTGGTGTCAGAGGGAGGAATAGTGCCCCATGATTGGTGTCAGTGGGAGGAATAGTGCCCCATGATTGGTGTCAGTGGGAGGAATAGTGCCCCATCATTGGTGTCAGTTGGAGGAATAGTGCCCCATCATTGGTGTCAGTGGGAGGAATAGTGCCCCATCATTGGCATCAGTGGGAGGAATAGTGTACAATCATTGGCATCAGTGGGAGGAATAGTGTACAATCATTAGCGTCAGTGGGAGGAATAGTGTCCAATCATTAGCGTCAGTGGGAGGAATAGTGTCCAATCATTAGCGTCAGTGGGAGGAATAGTGCCCAATCATTGGCGTCAGTGAGAGGAATAGTGCCCCATCATTGGTATCAGTGGGAGGAATAGTGCCCCATCATTGGTGTCAGTGGGAGGAATAGTGCCCCATCATTGGTGTCAGTGGGAGGAATAGTGCCCCATCATTGGTATCAGTGGGAGGAATAGTGCCCCATCATTGGTGTCAGTGTGGTGGAGGGGGGAATAGTGCCCCATCATTGGGGTCAGGGGGGGGGAATAGTGACCCATCATTGGTGTCAGTGGGGGGGGGAATAGTGACCCATCATTGGTGTCAGTGGGGAAATAGTGTCCCATGGTTGGTGTCGGTGGGGGAGGAATAGTGCCCCATTCTTGGTGTCAGTGGGGGGAGGAATAGGGCCCCATCGTTGGTGTCAGTGGGGGGAGGAATAGTGCCCCATCGTTGGTGTCAGTGGGGGGAGGAATAGTGCCCCATCGTTGGTATTAGTGACACAAATGATGGGGCACTATCCCTTCCACTGACACCAATGATACTTACCTTGCTGACTCCTGCTCCAGCCTGGGCTCGCTCTCTCCCTCTCCCATCTACAGCCTGCATACCTGGCTGCAGCAGCAAAATTTGCACTTACCTGTCAGCTGTCTTCCTTCTCTGGCCTCTCTCTTCACTCGCTCCTGCAGCTCCCTCGATCTTCTTTGATCTCCGCGCGCTGCCGCTCGGCTCCTCCTCTCCAAGCTCCACCTCCTCGCCGGTGATTGGCCGCCTGTGTGCCTCTCCTGAGCTACAGTTCCGGTGGCCAATCAGCGGCGAGGAGGCGGAGCTGTTGAGTGATCCCGGAGTGTGGCCAGGTTACAGGTCGGGCAGCATATCATCCCGCCCACAGATCGCCTGAGACAGGAGCGGTGTCTCGGTTCCTAAGACCATCGGAAATATGTGTTTTCCGATGGTCTTAGGCGACCCCTGTGTTGAGAACCGCTGTGTTAAATGTTCATGTGGTTTGTTTTTTCTTAGAATAAATAGAATGTCGGTTTACTTTTCAGGCAAGTCGCTGGCTGTGGAGGAAATTAAAGCCTCAAACTGCATCTAATGGATCCCTGCCTTGTCCTCGACTGGGGCACAGCTTTTCTCTCCATGGTAATAAATGTTATTTGTTTGGTGGCCTGGCAAACGAGAGTGAAGACACCAATAACAATATTCCCAGGTAAATCTGTTTTCTGATCAGTACAATTGCAGACAGAATGGGGTTTTATCCTTGAATGAGGATTTATTATTTCATTGTATAACTTGGGCCATATTCTTAGGTTAGTAATGCACACCTTTTACCTCTGACTACTGCTGAAGATATACAGTAACTGTTTTGTCTTTGCAGTACTACTTTTAGGTTGCTGTGCTCACTGAGGTTTATTTTCCCTTCGTATTGTGGATTGTGCCTCACTTTGCTGTATTGAAAAAGTCTGGCTTAAAGTGAAACTCCAGTCACAATATAAAAAAATAAAATTCAGCAGCTACAAAAACTGTAGCTGCTGACTTTTAAAAAACAGACACTTACCTGTCACTTTATCCCATGGTGTCCTCTCCGCAGCTGGTTTCACTGGCCATCCTTTCACCCTGGCACCTGCATCTTCAGGATGGGCACCTGGCTGTGACAGCTTGCAGCTTCACAGCCGGGTGCTTACTGCGCCTGTGCGAGTAGCTCAGCACTTTCTGAATGGTCCCGTAGTGTTCTAGGACCTGTCACGTGTCCCAGAAGACTACGGGAGGGAGGGTGGGGAGGACAACTTCTGACTGCAGTGGAGGTGGGAGTGGGTACCTGTCAAAGTAATAAGTGCCACATCCTACAAATCAGAGCAGAGAATTTTTCAGTGATATATTGTGGACTTTATAGGTACGTACACCACACCCAATTATTATGGTAAAGCAGTGTTGTTTATAATCATAAAATCATTTAGGTCATGGTTTAAAAAATTAAGTACTCAATTTGTGCAATATGGCATTTCCCCCCAAAAAAACAGTAGAGGCACCCAAATATTGTGTAGATATTGTGAATAATCCAAAATGATTATCCAAGTCCTCCAATTGTGGGGTTTCCACCTTCCACAGATTTGCTCTTTGCTCTTTCGTGACTGAAATCGCTTCTTCAGGAACTTGTAAATGCATTTTATACACTGCTCAAAATAATTCAAGGAACGCTTTTTAATCAGAGTACAGCATCAAGTAATTTAAACTCCTGGGATATTTACCTGGTCAGTTAAGTAGAAGAGGGGGTTGTTAATCAGTTTCAGCTGCTTTGGTGTTAATGAAATTAACAACATGTGCACTAGATGGGCAACAATGAGATGACCTTTAAAACAGGAATAGTTTTACAGTGGAGGCCACTGACGTTTTTCTACCTACTAATCTTTTCTGACTGTTTTTACTAGTTTTGCATTTGGCTAGGGTCAGTGTCACTACTGGTAGCATGAGGCGATACCTGGACCCTACAGAGGTTGAACAGGCAGTCCAACTCCTCCAGAATGGCACATCAATACGTGCCAGTGCCAGAAGGTTTGCTGTGTCTCCCAGCACAGTCTCAAGAGCATGGAGGAGATTCCAGGAGGCAGGCAGGTAATCTAGGAGAGCAGGGCAGGGTTGTAGAAGGTCCTTAACCCATCAGCAGGATCGATATCTGCTCCTTTATGCAAGGAGGAACAAGATGAGCACTGCCAAAGTCCTACAAAATTACCTCCAGCAGACCACTGGTGTGAATGTCTCTGACCAAACAATCAGAAACAGACTTCATGAGGGTGGTCTGAGGGCCTGACGTCCTCTAGTGGGCCCTGTGCTCACTGCATGGCACCATAGAGCTCGATTGGTATTTACCATTGAACACCAGCATTGGCAGGTCCGCCACTGGCACCCTGTGCTTTTCACAGATGAGAGCAGGTTCACCCTGCGGACATGTGACAGACGTGAAAGGGTCCGGAGAAGCCATGGAGAACATACCTGTGACATAGTTTAGCATGACCGTTTTGGTGGTGGGTCAGTGATGATATGGGGAAGCATATCCATGGAGGGAAGCACAGACCTCTACAAGCTAGACAATAGCACTCTGACTGCCATTAGGTATTGGGATGAAATCCTTTGACCTATTGTCAGACCCTACACTGGTGCAGTGGGTCCTGGAGTCCTCCTGGTGCACGACAGTGCCCAGCCTTATGTGGTGAGAGTATGCAGGCGATTCCTGGAGGATGAAGGAATTGATACCATTAAATGGCTCCCACGCTCGCCTGACCTAAATCCAATAGAACACCTCTGGGATATCATGTTTCGGTACATCCGACACCGCCAGGTTGCACCTCAGACTGTCCAGGAGCTTAGTGATGCCCTGGTCCAGATCTGGGAGGAAATACCCCAGGACACCATCTGTCGTCTCATTAGGAGCATGCCTCAATGCTATCAGGCATGCATACAAGCACGTGGGGACATACAAACTACTGAGTACCATTTTGATTTGCTGCAATGAAATTTCAGCAAAACGGACTAGCCTGCTGCATAATTTTTTCACTTGGATTTTCGGGGGGTATCCTTGAATTCAGTCCTCTGTAGGTTGATAATTTTTCATTTCCATCAAACGATGGGACATCCTTACGTTCCTAACACATTACCCAGTCCATATCAGTATAGATATCCAGCATGATATTTTTCCCCATTGAGATCTGATGTGTTTTGAAAGTGTTCCTTTAATTTTTTTTTCAGCAGTGTATAAGAAAAAAGTACATAGAGTAATATACATGTAATATAACGCTGCACCCGAATGAAACTTGCATCCTTTTTTTCCCATGAATTGCGCTTTCTTTCGGTGGTATTTGATCGCTTGTGCGTTTTTTGTTTGTTTTTTTTTTTTTTTTTGCGCTATAAAAAAAACAAAAAAAACGACAATTTTGAGAAAAAAAAAAATATATTTTTTACTTTTTGCTATTAAACATCCAGTAAAAAAATGTAAAAAAATCAACTTTCGTCATTAAATTTAGGCCAAAATGTATTCTGCTACATGTCTTTGCTAAAAAAAAAATCCCAATATGTGTAAACTAATTGATTTACATGAAAGTTAGTATTTGCAAATGGCGGTATATGTACTGGGATTTTTAAATGTTTTACTAGTAATGGCGGTGATTAGCGACTTATAGTGGGACTTCTGACACTGGGGGGAACTGACTTGGTTTCACTGACATCCCCAGTGACACCAATACAGTGATCAGTGCTAATAAAAAAGCGCTGACACTGTACTAATGGCACTGGGTAGGAAGGGGTTAACATCTGGGGCAATCAAAGGGTTAACTGTGTGTTTTACTGGGGGGCGGTGTTAGTGTGCTTCACTGTATGCACACTGCTTTGTCTGGCTGTGCTGTGCACAGCCATTAAAAGCAGTGTGCACAGGCTGACAGAGAGAACTGTTTTGTTTATTAACAGTTCTCCCCCCAGAGATCCTCGGCAACCACCGGGCACCGGCGAATAATCAGCCACGGCAGAGAATGGTGGCCCGGTAGGGCACGCGCGTGCCCCCTACCCGGGAATACAAAATCACGTGTGTGAATATATACGTGATTTTGCACACCTGTGCCGCCCTGTAGCATTATATCTGCTATAGGGTGAACGGGAAGCGATTTAAACGATCACCACTCAGCCTCCGCATATAGGAAGAGAGAAGAGCCTCCAATAGTGTAAAACCATTTAATAACACATGAATCGAGAAAAACTGAGTTTACAAAATATCAGGATAAACTTCCGGTTCCCTGCATCTTCTTGCTGTTGTGTCACAGCAGTTGCGGGTGGGGAGCCCCCCTGTGTTAGTACAGCCAGAGCGACACCCCTACCTCGCTTTGTCTATAGCTGCTGCCTGGCCCCACGGGCGGGAAGCAGTTAAAATAACAAATACAATTTTTTTTTTTTTTTAACTTGACAGGTTGCTTTTAACTGACTTCATCTGCAGATGAAGTTAATCTCTTTGATCTGTAGATGCATAAACTGAAAAATAGGAAAAGACACAATGTTTCTGTTTATCTTTCTGTTTTAGCCTGAGCAATGTTGTTGATAAACATTGTCAGGCTGCTTTTCTTTTTTGACAGCTCCAGTTGCCAGGACTTGTTTACACTTTATCTGTCAGCAGGGGAACCCAGCTGACAGGTGAATGAGTCATATTAACCACTTCAATACTGGTTACTTTTACCTTCTTCCTGCCCAGGCCAATTTTCAGGTTTCAGCACTCAGTTTGAATTACAATTGCGCGGTCATGCAACACTGTACCCAAACTAAAATTTGATCATTTTGTTCACACAACTAGAGCTTTCTTTTGGTGGTATTTAATCACCACTGGGGTTTCTTTGTGCTAAATTAACAAAAAATTACTGAACATTTTTAACCCCCCCCCCCCCCCCCCCCCCCCCCCCCCCCCCCCCACCCCCCCCCGCGTTTCTGTTATAAAAGTTTGCAAAAAAATAATTGTTCTTCATAAATTTTGGCCAAGATGTAACATTTCTTTGGTGAAAATAACCCAAATCAGTATTTATTATTTAGTCTGTAGGAAAGTTTTAGAGTTCACAAACTATAGGATATATCTGAAAATTGATCAATCCTGAAGTACTGACAGCCAACCTAATTTCTTGAAGCCCAAAAATGTCAGAACAGTACAGATATCCACCAAATCACCTCTTTTTGCAAAGTAGACAGTCCGACATATTTCATAAGAGGCATGGCGAGTTTTTTTAAGTTATAAAAAAAAAAAAAAATTGTGAAAATAATTTTTTTCAATTTCTTCATTTTCCGAAAAATGATGACAAGAAAAATATATATTTTTTGTCATCATGTTTTGGAAAATGAAGAAATTAAAAAAATTATTTTCACAATTTTTTTTTTTTTTTTTTTTACACAAACTGTCATACCAGTGCAGTACAGCATCAGCATATAACTGGTGTGGCAGTGATCGGGGACACTGACTAGTGACAGTATTAAAAAAAAAATATTATTTATTTATTTTTAAATTTCCTTTTTATTTTGTTTTTTTAAGATATTTATTTATTTTTTTTCATATTACACTATGACCAGAGTAGTATAATGTTACCATAGTAACATTGTACTACTTTGGGGAAGTGATCAGTATTTTTTTTTTACACAATTTGATTGCTTATAGCAAAGAATTTCTTTGCTATAAGCAAGCATTTAACTGAATGAAATCCATTCATTCAGGGTTTTTTTTTTTGTGATTAGCTGTGATTGGCCACGGCTAATCACATGACACAGATGGGCTGTGAAATGCCCAGCTTGTGCATGTGATCACCGTGACCATTCACAGCTAGACACACTTGTATACAATGGATGGCATGAAAGGAAGCCATCCATTGTATACAACTGTCATGTGACCTGCTGTGATTGGTCACAGCAGATCACATGGTACTGGAAATGGGGCCGGTACACAGATCTGTCATCAGTTATGTTTCAGCTGTCAGTGGGGAATCTTGCTGACAGCTGAAAGAACCTAGCCTAAAGGTATCGATACTAGTTATTGGAGCATGTGCACGAGTATAGATACTCATGCAGATGCTTAGTATCGGCATCTGCACTTGTATCTGTGCAACCCTAATTTAGACATTCAATCGAAAGGTTCTCTTTACATTGAATCCTCCTATCCCAGTTACCGCCCTAAGGATCTTTTTTAATTGCTTCCAATACAATAAATCTCACATCTCTGGTCATCAATTCATTCAATCTAGCGATTATACCAGTCCACATGGCTAAAAAATATGTAGGTATGTACTTGCGTCATCATCAGAGATGTCCTGTTCCCACTTCCCCCTCCCAGGTACAGATTGGCATAAGTCGGGGCACATGTGCCCATGGCCACGCCCTGTACCTGGAGGTACTGGGAACCCATAAAAGTAAAGCAATTATGTGTAAGAATAAGGTACAGCCGTTTAAGTGCAAATTTATTAAACTCCCAATATGTTTGATCCTGTTCCATCAGGAAGGATTGCATAATCCAGACTCCCTGCTTGTGAGAAATTAGAGTGTCTCTAATGTAAGAAGGGAGCCTTGTAATGTGAGGCATTCGAAAAAAGTCCACCAGCCTGAAGCCATTTTCAGTGGTGGATCCTATTCCTGAAATAATAGGCCTTCCAGGAGGCACAGTCATGCTTTTGTGGAATTTAGGCAGAGAATAAAACATCGCCTCACAAGGAAATTGTACATTTAAATAATCCTATATCTCCTTATCTATAAAGGCGTTGAGACAGGCTGTATTAATAATCTCTTTAAATTCACAATTGAATAGGGGATATCACATTAGCTGAGATGAGTCTTACCAGTCTTTATTATTGACATTTATAATAATGTCTCCACCCTTATCCAATGGTTTAATGACTATATTGGGCCCATTTTTTAACTGTATCACAACCTGTCTTTGAGGAGGTGTAAGATTAGAATCCTTAGTAACTATGGTAACATGTCAACTGTGTGGTCCTTTCACTGCAAAATAGCCATCTGTCAGAACCCTAGTACCGGTGCCTGCTGCTTTCATATAAGTTTAGAAGGATTCGTTTAAGCAAGTCATTTTTTCATTTGCCAAAGATAAAACATCATGTATTATTCATGATAGCTGGTGTTCTTTCCTGAAACTTCTAATATACATTTACTGGCCACTTTATTAGGTATACCTGTTCAATTGCATGGTAACACAATTTGCTAATCAGCCAATCACATGACAGCAACTCAATGCATTTAGGCATCTTAATGTGGTGAAGACAACTTGTTGAAGTTCAAACTGAGCTTCAGAATGGGGAAGAAAGAGGATATAAGTGACTTTGAATGTGGCATGGTTGTTGCTGCCAGACAGGCTGGTTTGAATATTTAAAAAACTGCTGGTCTACTGGAATTTTCACACACAACCATCTCTAGGGTTTACAGGGAATGGTTCAAAAAAGAGAAAATATCCAGTGAGCAGCAGTTGTGTGGACAATAATGCCTTGTCAATGTCAGAGGAGACTGGGCAGACTAGTTCAAGATGATAGAAAGGCAGCAATAACTCAAATAACAACTCGTTACAACCAAGGTAGGCAGAATACCATCTCTGAACGCACAACTAACACTGTTCAACAGGTAAAAAGTTTTGGGCATAAAATTAGCTAATCTTACATAATTTTGGGGTGCTGAAAACGAAAATGACCCTAAAAAATGTTGATTGGCTCTAGTTTCCATGATATATTCACCCATCTAATGACGTAAGCCATTCAAAATTATGATGCAACTTCAGCTGCATATTGCGCAATTGATACTGGTGACAATAGAAAATTGCATGTATACTGAGATGATGCAATATTGGCCTTTAATTGCATCACTTCACTGCATAAAAGCTGCAGTATCTGTAGCTGATTGTAGTTCGTCTTTACATTTCGTTTTATGCTTATATAGGCTACTCAGTAATGCCTCGAACTTGTGTGAATAAAGCAGATAATTTCTGCTATATCTGCGGTGAAATAACTTTTATCTCACAAAAAAGGAGGATAACAGGAATGATTAAGAAAGCCTACAACTTGTATTTTGGCTGCAAGATAGGAGACCAGGACAAGAGCTGGGCACCACATATATGCTGCAATTCTTGTGGGACGGCACTGGAGCAATGGTTGAATGGAAAAAAGGCATCTATGCCTTTCGCTGTGCCAATGATTTGGAGAGAGCCAACAGATCATGTTAGTAATTGTTACTTTTGTATGGTGCCTCCAATTGTAAAAGGGCTAAATAAGAAGAAAAAGTTATCTGTGCACTATCCAAATATTCCATCGGCAATACGTCCAGTTCCTCATGGAGAGGGGCTACCAATTCCTAAAGCACCAGAATCCTTCGTGGTTGAGTCAAGTGAGGAAGAACCTGAAGCGTGTAGTCACGTGCAGTTGTAAGAGATAGCCCTTTCCTCGAATACAAGAGAAAAGCCAAGAGAAGCAAAACCGACACAAACTGAAGACAAAACTAGTGAGAATCCTAAGTATTAAAATGATTCAACTTAGCTTATGGCTATAATTTTTCTTGGTAATCCTATGCAATATATTATGCCATTTAGGCTTTGTTATGTAGTCAATATCACTTGCTTTATATTTGTGGAAAGACATCTATCTATATAATTATTGTGCATTATGTAGTCATTACGCCTATAGTAGAAAAACTTTCCGTTTACAGAAAAACTAGAGCCAATTGACAAATTTCATTGTTATATTTGAACTCAGAATGTGAAATTCATTAAGAAATGGATCCTTTTGTTTCCAAAACTGGCAAAAAATAAAAATTTGTTGAACAGTGTAATCGAACCTTGAAGTAGATGGGCTACAGCAGCAGAAGACCATGCCAGATGCCACTCCTGTCAACTAAGAACAGGAAACGGAGGCTATAATTTGCACAGACTCACCAACATTAGACAATAGAAGATTGGAAAAACGTTGCCTGGTCTGATGAGTCTTGATTTTAGCTGCAACGTTCAGATGGTGGGGTCAAAATTTGGCGTAAACAAAATGAAAGCATGGATCCATCCTGCCTTGTATCAACGGTCCATGGATGTGCAGCCGACAAATCTGCAACAACTGCGTGATGCTATCATGTCAATATGGACCAAAATCTCTGAGGAATGTTTCCAACACTGAATCTATGCCATAAAGAATTAAGATGTTTCTGAAGGCAAAAGGGGGTCCAGCCCGGTACTAGCAAGGTGTACCTAATAAAGTGGCCGGTGAGTATATAGTGCTGCATTGCATATGGATATATACTGACTTAGAGATTGGTCAGGCAGCAAGTGAGATGTGTAAATGATTGGGGAAGAAAACCACCAAGTCTTTAAATTAAATTCATAACTGTGTGAGTCTACCAATTTATTTTCATAATTATTAGGGATGCACCAACATTTTGGTGGCCGAAAGGTTTCGGCCTAAAACACCCCTTTTGGCCGTTGGCCAAAATGAAAAAAAAAAAGCACTGATAAAGGTGCCAAAAAAAAACCCCGCCCCTCGCTGCCGCTCGGTAGTTCTCAGCCTTACCTGAGAAACCATCGATCCCGGCGCAGGGCATAGAGATGAGTGAAGGAAAGATAGCCGCAACTCATCTCTATGCCCTTGGAGGACCGGAGCGATGTCACTTTTCATTCCGGCCATTTTTTTTTTTTTTTTTTTAAAGCAGTAGATCAGTGCTCTTTTTGATCCAATGCTTTACATTGTAGAGGAGAGATGTAGGGTCTTATTGACCTCCTTAAAGAGGTATGGGGTCAACAAGACCCCACAATTATTTTTATCACAAGGGATGCATGCATTTCTTGTGATGAGAATAAAAGTGATTTAAACTTTTTTTTTATTATGTTTTAATTTTTTTTTTTTTTTGCACTGTCCCTTTTAAAAAAAAATTTAAAGTGCCCCTGTCCCCCCGTGCTTGCACATAGTGGTGAACGCATACGTAGGCCATGCCCACATATGTAAATGGTGTTCAAACCACACGTGAGGTATTGCCATGTACATCGGAGTAAGAGCAATAATTCTAACACTAGACCTCCTCTGTAACTTTACATTGCTAATCTGTTGAAATTTTTAAAGCCTCACCCATGGAGATTTTTAAGTACCGCAGTTTCACGCCATTCCACAAGCGGGCGCAGTTTTAAAGCGTGACATGTTGGGTATCTATTTACTTGCTATAACATCCTCTTTCATATTTTACAAAACAATTGGGGTATATATTTTGTTTTTTTTGTTTCGTTTATTGTAATCCGTGTTTTTTTTTTTTCCAAAAAAATATGTTCATTTGTAAAAACTGTGCATATCGGTTTCGGTTTTTGGCCAAGTGCATTTTGAATTTTTGGTTTCGGCACTAGAATTTTCATTTCGGTGCACCACTAATTATATATACATTTATTACACATTAGGTACCTAAATGATTTTTATGAACTTGAGCTACGTTCAGGAAGTGGAGTGTTTGGTTGGAATATTACACAGACCAAAGGAACTTCTCCATGTCCACGAGAGTCCCACTCAGCTGTCATATACAGCAGAAAGGATAATCGGAAACCTAAGCTTTATATCTTTGGAGGAATGTCTGGATGTCGTCTTGGCGACCTGTGGGAGCTTGATATTGGTGAGCTTTGAAAGGTTTTCTGTTCAAATTTGTTTTTTATATATAGGAAAATGGCTCCAGGGAGTGACCTTGCTGGAGTACAATGTACAAGTAGAGAGTCTCCAAAATAACTTCACCCAAAGAAGAAAAAGGCTTCTGGAAAAATCCAATTTTTAGATGTAAGCCTGTAATTTAATTGTGCAGGTGGCGCACAGGGGAGGGCAGTCCTAATAAGTATTTGGCTATTATTATTATTATTTTTTTTTTTTTTTTACTTTTCAAGCTTTTGTCTAAGCAAAGTGGCACTCCTGTGTTTTTATGTGGTTTTTTTTAGCTTTTCCTGCATTTAGATGTTGCTGCTTTTAAAGCAGGTTTAGGTGCATATAGAGTCATTTACACACACTCACTGATATGTATTTAGTCTCATCAAAAGTGTCTAATCAAATCCTGGACACAGAGTTCTATTTTCTCTACACTCAGCTAATCTGCACTCAAATGCAGATAAACGCATGGTGTGCAGGGCACCTTTAAAAATCATTGCATGCATCTATATGCCTATAGAAATGTACTCAAAATGTATATAAATGCAGGCTTGACAGTGCCATTTTGGGTGAGGCCTATTAGTAACAGAAAGTAGCATTGTACTTCACTCCACACATTACTAGGTAAATAAGGCTACATAATTGCAATTTTTGTTTTCTTTTTATACACTTTATCTTTTATTTTTTTCTAGAAACTATGACCTGGAGTAGTCCAGAAGCTAAAGGGGTATCGCCTTTACCTAGAAGCCTGCACACAGCTAATATGATAGGGAATAGGTATGTCTGTTTAATAATATATATTATGTAATTTTCTTTAATGATATTATACATAAATGGCATATGGCCATGATACCCATGCATATTCATACATGCACAATATAGCCTGCAGTATGTGAGCATCTTGCAAATTATGGAGTTGAGCTGCACAAAGTGAGGTTTATAAAAACATAGTTTGTTGAGGAAGAACTCAAGTGGCCTGACCTCAACTGTATTGAGAATCTTTCAAATGAACTGGAACACCAACCGCAAACCTGTTTCATCTTCCAACAGCAAACAGTACCTGACCATGTAGATGTGTCTTTGGCAGAATGGGTGCAAATTATCACATTCACATTTGAAGATCTTCTGTAAAGCCTTTCTAGAAGATTAGAGGCTGTTATAGATGTAAAGTAAATCGCAGTGGGGGCATTGCAACTCCATATTAATGTCCATGGTTTTGGAATGGAATCTTCAAAAAGTTCATATACAGTGGGGATCGAAAGTTTGGGCACCCCAGCTAAAAATTTGTATTAATGTGCATAAAGAAGCCAAGGAAAGATGGAAAAATCTCCAAAAGGCATCAAATTACAGATTAGACATTCTTATAATATGTCAACAAAAGTTAGATTTTATTTCCATCATTTACACCTTCAAAATAACACAAAACAAAAAAATGGCGTCTGCAAAAGTTTGGGCACCCTGCAGAGTTAATATCTTGTACTGCCCCCTTTGGCAAGTATCACAGCTTGTAAACGCTTTTTGTAGCCAGCCAAGAGTCTTTCAATTCTTGTTTGAGGTACCTTTGCCCATTCTTCCTTACAAAAGTCTTCCAGTTCTTTGAGATTTCTGGGCTGTCTGTCACGCACTGCTCTTTTAAAGTCTATCCATAGATTTTCAATTATGTTGAGGTCAGGAGATTGTGAAGGCCATGGCAAAACCTTCAGTTTATGCCTCTTGATATAATCCCCTGTGGATTTCGAGGTGTGTTTAGGATCATTATCCATTTGTGGAAGCCATCCTCTCTTTAACTTCAGCTTTTTCACAGATGGCATCAAGTTACCATCCAAAATTTGCTGAAATTTTATTGAATCCATTTTTCCTTCTACTCGTGAGATGTTCCCTGTGCCACTGGCTGCAACACAACCCCAAAGCATGATTGATCCAACCCCATGCTTAACAGTTGGACAGAGGTTCTTTTCATTAAATTCTGTGCCCCTTCTTCTCCAAACATATCTTTGCTCATTCCGGCCAAAAAGTTCAATTTTAACCTCATCGGTCCACAGAACTTGGTTCCAAAATGCATCAGGCTTGTCTATATGTTCATTTGCAAAGTTCAAACGATGATTTTTGTGGTGAGGATGTAGAAGAGGTTTTCTTCTGATGACTCTTCCATGAAGACCATATTTGTACAAGTATCTCTTTATAGTGGAATAGTGTACCACAACTCCAGTGTCTGCCAGATCTTTCTGGAGGGATCGTGCAGTCAAACGTCGGTTTTGAATTGTTTTTCTCACAATCCTGCGAGCTGTTCTGTCTGATATTTTTCTTGGTCTTCCAGATCTTGCTTTACCTTCCACTGTTCCTGATGACTGCCATTTCTTAATTACATTCCAAACAGAGGATATTGACATCTGAAAACGCTTTGCTATCTTCTTATAGCCTTCTCCAGCTTTGTGAGCGTCAACTACTTTTCAGTTTCAGTTTTCTAGACAACTGCTTAGAAGAACCCATGGTGCTGATTGTTGGGGCAAGGTCAGATGAGTCTGGGCATTTAAAACCTTTGAGCTTGACATCTCCTGGTCTTCCCAGACGATGATTGAGAACAATCCATGACACTGGCAGGTCTCAGCTTTGCAAAGGGGGCAGTGCATGCTATAAATTCTGCAGGGTGCCCAAACTTTTGCAGATGCCATTTTTTTGTTTTCTGTTATTTTGAAAGTGTAAATGATGGAAATAAAATCTAACTTTTGTTGACATATTATAAGAATGTCTAATCTGTAATTTGATGCCTTTAGAGATTTTTCCATCTTTCCTTGGCTTCTTTATGCACATTAATACAAATTTTTAGCTTGGGTGCCCAAACTTTCGATCCCCACTGTAGATGTGATGGTCACGGGTCCACATATGTCTGGCTCTATACTGTATATACACACACATATAGATTTTTTTCAGGGTGGCTGTTAAAGCAAAACCAAACCCAACAGTTAACTGTTTCCAAAAATAGTTACAATCAAAGCATGCCATGATTGATGAAAGCCAAATTTGCTTGTGCTCTCAAGAAAACTGTCAAACATCAAATGGTTGTTGTCATAACTAATCACAAGTGGAACATCATGGCAACTGCAGATCAAACCGAGGCTAAGATGGCAGCTTCCTTTTGCTGTAAAGAATGAAAGGACTTGGTTCTGCTTGAATGTGAAAAACGTGAATGGGTTTTGTTCTATTAACATTTTTAAAGCAGGACTCCAGCCAGGGAGTATCTTTTTTGCAAAGATATCCAACTTGGCTTGATTGTAAGTATTCAAATCTGATATCCAGAGAGCCGCAGGGGATGAAAATCACTCTAGTAGTCCACGCTGCATACAGTGATAGCTGTGATCTTCCAGGTGCTGCTCCAGTGGTGTTCCCCCTGCACACTGATCAGAATTCCTTCCTCACCCAGAGAGCATTCCCTTCCCACCCACTTTACCCTCTCACTCATCTCATAGCTCATCCTCCCCACTCAGGGTGTTTCCCTCTCTGCCCACCTTAGCCCCCATTCAGAGCACATCACTCCCTGGCCACCTTAACCCTCATTTATAGGGCATCACTCCCTAATAACCCCCCCTCACTTAGAGTATCCCTCCCTGTCCACCCCCCACCTCTCTCCCTTTCACAGAACATCCCCCTAGTCCCTTTAACCCTTGTTCATAGTATATCACTCCCCAGTACTTCTCTACTCACAGTGCATAAACACATTTATCTCACCTCAGTCACATTGATCCTCAGCCCTTTGAGTGTATATGCGCTCTGCCAATCAGCTCTACTCTACCCGTTCTGAAACAGGCACTCTTTGAGCTAGGTATTATTGTTTAGTAATAATTCAAAATAGAGATTATGTAACTTGAATTATTTTATGTGACTTGAAAAGAGAAGCGAAAACTGTGTCCTATTTCATTGTACCTTTTGCCTTGTGTTTTGTCTTTTGCTGCTCTGGTGTCTTTAAATTTGATCTAGTTTCCCGTTTGGAATATTCTGTATGGTAGAAAAACATTGGTCATTTCTCATGAAAAGTGTTCTTTCTTTCTATCCTAATGCACAGTTTGATTTATTTTTAGAATGTATATATTTGGTGGCTGGGTTCCACAAACTGAAAATGGTGACAGCTCAGCAGCTGAAGAGAATCATTGGAAGTGCACTAACTCTTTTTCCTACTTAGATCTGGGTGTGTATCATTGATTTTCATATTGTTATTGGTGGCTAGATACACAGTGTGTAGTGTACAGCATGCTTTCATGTTTATATAATTGCAGCTGATTTTTATCTTACTGAATGTGTTTCACTTTGTTGGGCAGACTCCATGGAGTGGGGCGTGTTAATGGCAGACAGCTCAGAAGAGAAAGTTAACTGGCCAAGACCCAGAGCAGGACACTGTGCAGTCACAGTTGGAAAACGCCTGTATATTTGGAGTGGAAGGGATGGTTACAAAAAGGCATGGAATTACCAAGTGTGTTGCAAAGACCTTTGGTACATTGACACAGGTAGGACACACCAAACTGATTCAGATTATCTTGTAGCAATGTACCTTAAAGTCCTGGATGCAAGCATTTTTGTGTCTTTTTCAGAGAAGCCATCAGCATCCTCACAAGTTCAGCTAATACTGGCTACCACAAACTCGTTTCATGTAAAATGGGATGAACTGCCAACTGTTGAAAGGTATCTTCTACAGCTAAGCCCTGAATTGCCAGTGTCTCCGTGTGCTGGAAAAGCTGCTCACCTCAGTGAACTTTTCTACACAGAGTTCTTGCATTTCTCCATACGCAGCTCCATTACACTTACTTCAGAGTGGACTTTCATGCTCACAAAATGTGGAAGAAAGTAAGTTACAGTCTGAGAGACATGTTTTAGTAACGTGCAAAAAGTAGTACATCGCTTGCTTTAAAGGATAGGTCCAGCTTTAGCGTCATGTTATACTCATGTTTGGGGTGGAACATGTTGCTATGCATCAGCCCCCTTCACTACCTGAATCCCTCCCCTACAAGTCCTATCTTCCACCATGGCAGACTGCTTGTGGTTCCCAATGAACTACAAGAGCATTGATTGGCGTCCTCATAGTCCATTGATAACTTCCTTCAGCTGCGTAACTGTCTGTTCATATGAAGGTACGGGCAGAGAGCTGAATGAAGTGTCTGCAGGAGCCTGACACTGCACCTGTGATCCACTGGAAAAAAAAAAAAAAAAAGTTGCTATTACACAGGTCTGCATAAAAAAATTTTTTCAAGAGCTGTTTTGGATATTCCACATAATCTTTGTTTTTTGTTGCGCTGAATCCGAAAAGGACCTCCATTTTGTCATAGGACATCATGTTTCCTGACAATTTAGGTAACTATGTTAAATAAGGCAATACCTCAAAATAAATGGAAATAGACTTATAAAATTAAAGTTTTATTACAATTTTTTCATGAAAATCCTTTTTTGAACTGAATTGAGCTCACCTACACACACTAAACTCGATTCTTCTTCTCTGTGAGGCTCCTCTTGGTGCATTTACGCTTGTAAGTAGCATCTGGAATGTCTCTCTGAAGCATCCAACAGTAGACTGCCATCATTGTAATGCTCCATTTTCCCTGGTATCTCCTTTCCATCTCTTTAATGTCTTGGTGGAATCGTTCACATTTTTCCTCACTCACAGCTCCCAAATTTTCAGGAAAGTAGTCAAGGTGGGACTGGATGAAATGCACTTTCAAACTCATCAGGCAACCTAAAGCTTGAAATGCTTTAAGCATTCGTCCGACGATCTTTTTGTAGTGAGGATCTTTGTTATTGCCTAAAAATTTCTGTACGACTTCTTTAAATGCAATCCACCCTTCTTTTTGAGGATCCGTTATAGTATTGACAAACTCTTGATCAACTATATGCCTTCTAATGTCTGGTCCGAAGAACACACCTTCCTTCAATTTTGCCTCCGACAGGCCTGGAAACTTGGTGACCAAGTATTTGAAGCATTCTCCATCTCTTGGAAGTGATTTTATGAATTGCTTCATCAATCCCAATTTTATGTGGAGAGGTGGTAGAAGAACTTTATGGGAAGGTACCAAAGTTTCTCAGAGGACATTTTTTTCACCGACTGTTAGCACCCTCGGCTGCCAACTCTTCTTGGTCCCGTGATTTTGTCGGTCTCGACTGTCCCATAGACACAAAAAACAAGGGTATTTGGTATACCCAGCTTGTTGCCCGAGCAGCATGCACAAGACCTTCAAGTCCCCACATACTTGCCAACCATGGTCTTCATATTTAAGTTTATGAAGAACCAATTCCAAGTTCTCGTAGGTTTCCTTCAAGTGTACGGAATGACCTACAGGTATTAAAGCGTAAAAAACCCACCGTTGTGGAGTAAAACTGCTTTGAGACTTCTTTTTGAAGAATCTATAAAAAGACGCCATTGCTCTGAATCATATTGGATTTTAAATTGACCCATCAGACCTTTGACATCGATGCAATAAACCAACTTGTCTTCCTGGGCGAAGTAAGGAACGAACTCCTTTTCACGATGTCTGAACCATGAAGATGACACTCCTGGCAACAATAAATTCCTGCTTTTCAGCCTTGATCCGAGTAACTCAGCGGCATCTTTGGGAAGATTCAAGTCTCTTACAAAATCATTCATCTCCTCCTGAGAAAACAATTTTGGTCTTGTATCATCTTCAAAGTCAGAACTTGATTCGTCATCTGGTTCAGGTATGACTTTACCTTCATTTGAGCTAGGTATCTCTTCCAAGGTAGCAGATACTGGTATATCTGTGCCATGGGGATGGGACGAATTGCTGAGTGAAGATTGGGGTATGAAATGGAATGCTTCCATTTGAAATTTCGGAGGTCCCTCAAACCCTTTCAGATTGCATGAACAAAAGTAACAGTCGTCACTATGGTTCTTTTGCTCTCGCCATACCATAGGAATCCCATAACGGAAAGATTTTTTTCTTACCCTTGAACCAGTTTCGGACCGGAGCTGCTGCTATCTGCCCTGTGTTTCCCTCCCACTGGATTCTATCTGCACTGTGTATCCCTCCCACTGGATTCTTCAGGAAAGATTAACCCCTTCTACCATTAGAAGCACAGACTCAGGGCTGAGGCTTACACACACAGCATGCTGCTGAGTATCCAAGTAGTCAGACATGTCACTCAGAGCAGCACTTGTATTCACCCCCTTTGCAGGGGGAGGGGGCAGAATTTGTTTACCTGCAAATAACAACAAAGGGCCAGAAGAGAACTAAGGAAATGAAGAAATAGAATTTGTTTTCCCTAAAACTTGCTTAGCTTATGTATATATTGCTGACCATTAGATTTTACAGTGCTATATTTTTTTTTACATAACTCGGACAACCCCTTTAAGGTTTTTTTGGGCATTTTATATCTTAAATGCACTTATGTGAATTAATTAATAGTAATTTGGACTTTAAATTTGGTTAAAAAACCCCGTAATATAAAAAAAAATACCAAAAAATTTAAAACAATTTGATAAATTTGAAGACAATTTTGCATTTTGTGGGAAATGCATGACGTCTAGGAGTTTTTTTTCAATATTTTATTTGTTTTCAGCACACCAAAATACATGGAAATTAGATGAAAATAATAATAATAATTTTTTTTGTGGTGTTTTTTTTTTTTTTTTTTTTTTTACTTATTATTTAACATGAGTATGACTGAAAGTGTTCAGACAAGCGGATGATAGATTTGTTGTTGAAATACTCTCTGAATCCTGAAATATGATGGAGCTGCCATAATTTTGACATTCATGCTGCTGTTGCAGAGAAATCAGTTATAGATAATTTCTGATTCCAAGATGAGTCTGAGGATGTTAAAACCAATCCCTGTGTAAGGACATTAAAATGAATCCTAAAGCAGTAGAAAAATCCAGGTTGTCACTTTTACCTACAGGTAAGCTTATAATAAAGCTTATCTATGGGTAAAAATGGATATCTCCTAAACATACACATTTTAGGAGATATTCACACGTTTTGCAGCTGGTGACGTCACTGGCAAAAGCGTACTGCGCTCTCAATTGAGGTCACACTGAATTTGCCGTCAATCCTGAGTGCTGTTCCATTACCACAACTCCTGTGCGCATGAGTGATATAATCGCGGCAATAGTTGTATCTTTGCTGCTCGACCACTCAAATGGCTAGAGTCCGCAAACTTGGAAGGAAGACTGGATAAAGATAGAAGCCCTAACAGCGGCGACGGCTCTCTGCTTGCAAGGGGACATTTTTTTTTTTTTTTATTTTTTTTTTTAGGACTACCACTTTAACACAAAAACAAAAATGTAATATATTGCAGCGTACTGGTCCTTAGATGTGGTGGCTGCATTTGTTTTTGTTTTATTCAAGCTTCTTCCTTTATTTTACCCGGTAATCCTGCAGATAACACACTTCTGTCCCTTTGTGGCTGACTTTTTAGAGAGTCAGCCATGATTGTCACACAGGCTGGACATGTTTGCCTTTTGTAACTCTCCATTATTGAAGAGATTTACAGTAGTTAACAGAAGAAAATTATAATTGTTTTTGCTGTTTTTTCAACTCACAGATGCTGATGCTCACATTTCTCCCTTTCAGTTGATCGTGCATCCTTCTCAGGCTCCTCCCCTGACCTTGTACTGTCCTTGCATCATTCTTATGCACATTCTCCTTCAACAAGACATCTTTGACTGTCTGGTCTCTGCTCTGAAACATTCTCTCATTAGTACCTCTCGGTTGCCCCTCCATGAGAATTTCTCTTTGGTAATGCTATTGTACTCTTTTGAGACAGCCAGTGTCCGGTTTTCTTCACTCAGAGTCACCGGGACTCTCCTGCTCACTGCATGGGGGTGTTAAGTCTACTACCCAGAGCCTCTTTTAATCCTTATTACCGTACCAAATATCTCCCTGACTCGCAACTCTCAGACTGTTCCTGTCATATACCCCTCCATCCCTGTATCAGCGTTACAGATCACCAAAATTGCCTGTGTTCTGAACTGAGAACCATTTTGCTCTCTTTTTCTAAAAAAAAAAACCTGTGTTTCTGTACCATTCAACTATATTTCCAGGTTTTTTATAGCAAAAGTTTGCATTTCCCAGTTCTCAATGCTTCCATTATGTGTTTGTTTCCCTTACCACGTGTGATCTGTACTAGCACTTTCCTGCCCCTCCCTCCTAACATCTTTAGTTATGACTCTACAGACCTTTGCCTAAAGATTTACCAGCAGCTCCTATTCACTCATATTCACCAGCTAGGCTCACTACATCACCTTATGTGGGAGTCATTCTCACTCTACATGTCCTTCCCTGATTGCATGTCAACCAATTTATTTACCTTACGAGAAGTGGGCTCAGGACCGTCATCTATGCCTACCTGCCATGTCTTCCCTTGGGAACTGAGTGCAAAGATGAGAAGTCACTGTTGCTGATATTTTGACTATTTTGTTGTTCACCCCCTTGAATTATTGTTTGAGGACATCTTATGCTCTAAGAAACACTTCCTGTGTCCTGGACTGTGCATTTTGAGATTATGGTAATTTTAATGTACCTGTAAATTCAAAATCTTGGAGTACAAGACACAGGTCCCTTCCCTCTTTGTCTTGGACCCTCACGGAATTGGCAGGGTTTTATGGGTACGCTTTGGGGCAGTCCCAGCAAAACTTTTGCCAGGGTCCAATCGCCTAAAGACAGAGGCATATAACCCATGGTCTAGGAATAAATTTCTGTGTACTCTAACTCTGAGTTTTGGAATCTTCAGATGCATCAAAATTCCTATTTTTCTGTACTTGCTGAAAGTTTTCAAAGCATAATAAAAAAATTAAACCTAATGCAGCTACCACATTGAAAGACTTCAGTTTATTACGTTATT